CGCAGATTGAACATTTACCACCTCTAGCGCATTGTGAGCAATGTCAAGCATCAAGTAATCAGAATGCATCAAACACCTACGTGCTATTCGTTCAAATACTATTCGGCTGTTCAGGGAACGTTCTGAACCTAATTGTACTGCTTTCGAGGAAAATGCGCTCTAGAACCAATTTGGTGAGTGACACATAAACTTGGAACAGTCCATGATCGACTCTGCATTAATCTCGCCATGACGACAGCAATATTCGAAGAACTTTCTTTAGCAATCCGAGATTGTTACAAATCCTTTACTCGACCGACGTTTCGGCAGTATTGCCTTCTTCAGAGCCTTTGAGGAGATGACGTTGAGTCCCCCCTCCTAACCTAACATCCCCTCAAAAAAAGGACATAAACTCGCAATCCCTGAGATGTGGTAGGCGTGACTGCGTACTTCAACTAAAGCGTGGAGGTGGCTAAGCTTTTGAAGAGATATTCTCAATTTGGCGCAGTTGTGGTCGTGCCTCTTTTCAATACAGAAGAGACACTTATGCGAAGTGAAATATTCCACGAGTAGCCTATTCTGTGTTATGTTCGAATGCCACGCCTACACCGTCTCAGAGATAAGGAGTGTATATATGTATATGTTCAACTCAGCGTCGCAGGTAATGCAATGGCTCGGTCGTGTGTTGCCGCCACTTTTGAGGGTAAACATCGTGAAAAAGTAGATTTTGGAGCACTGAAACGTGGGCGCGGCAGTTTATAGCGCTGAATGATGGAAAGCACCCACTTTTCATAATACAAGTTCAACCAGGTGCAGGCGCGGTCCGCGTACTGCGGCCCCGCAATAACATAGGGCATTTTGCTTCCCTCAATACAACGAATAGGTTTAACAAATAACTGCCAATGTACGGGGATCTCCGCACAATTTCTTTACTTTTCGGACCGATAATCAGCATTACATCTTTTCACTTTTCTAAGAGGTATTTGTATTCTCTGCCTAAAAAACGTGTTGTGGTACGAGCATGAATTAATTAACCGTATGAAACGGCAGAGAGTGGAAAAAGTATGACACAGCATGCGTGTCAGCGTCCCCGGAACGCTTTTTGTATGTGGGCATAAACCGTAGGAAACCGTAGCTAGTCGCTGCCACCACCCAAGCCTCCTTACATCTGCTTGCCTATGAAGGTGGACAGAAGCTGGAGTATCTGGAGTGAAGCTGACAATCCGTAGATGGACACGCTTGACATTGAAAAGAGGTCAAGTAGTGTAGCGAATGACCTATAAGGGCTACGTTCAGCGAACACAGCACGATGCGACTCAAGTGCTAGTCCCGGATAATTTGGTGGATTCGTTACCAGTTGTACAGTGGCACATCTTTTTGTTCCAAGAGTACATGTGCCTCGTGCCTTGTTCCAAGATAAGCGAATGGGTGGGGACTTGAGCGTGACAGGGATAGACTACGGTTTTCTCCCTGAAGAGTAGGACGCACCACTATGGCCCCACTCTTATCCGCCCATACCGCGAGCACGTAATCTGCCTTTATTTTAATATGCCTGTCACTGTGTCGACGAGGTTCGGGAAACAGATCGCAGTACTGGCTCATCTCCCTTCTCTACTGGAGAAGCTACCACGCGGACAGCTCATTATTATTACTCATATAGTTGTCATGAAGAATGGAATAGTAAATACTCTTTTCAGATTTTTGCTGTGATGGCTTTCGCTGACCTATTCTTTCTTCTGATGCACATTCCACCAATTCCTGTTCTTCTGTGTAAGTTACGAACTCAAGTGTAGACCTATTAATGTTAGATCAAGGATGCTGTCCACGGCTATCGTGTGGGTGGAGTCAATAGTAAAGAAAGTGAAAGAGTAGGGAAAGGGGAATAAAGGATATAAAAAGTGATTCGTTTCGCCTCCGACTCAGACGAATCACTGTCTTACGTCATCCCCCTGAGGCTCTTCAGTGAGTGGGGGATGACGTATAAAAAGGTATATGTAATGAGCGGTGAAGTGTACTGAAAACATTCCTAATGGTTAACTATGTCTATTATAGTAGAAGATAAGATAGGTACAAGTGGATTAATATGTGAGTGGGTAGAAATAGAGTTTGGGGAAAGGAGCGATATCAAGGAAACCATTAAAATAATACTCAGGTAACGCTGCATACGCAGTTAATTTATAGCATTATTTTGTCAATGGAGCTAATTTGTATTAACTATACCATTAATCAAGGAACAAATACGCTTGTAGTTGTCAATAATCGCAAATTTGTAACAGATGAGTTTATTTTTATAAATGCTCTTAACTATACTGGTAGTAATAAAATTCTTATCATATCCATTATTTTTCAAGATAACAATACAAGCCTATTGTTGAACCCTCTCCATTGACTGCTCTTCGTTACCGCCTCAATGAACGAGAGGAGCAATGAGTGCACGGGCACCATTGGTAGCGTGACATCGCCCCTGCAATCAGCATGGACAGTGCCATTGGCAGTGTCGTGGAAGAGAGAGGTGTGTCCCAAAGACACCAGTCACAGTGATCACTGTCAATGAGAGCCCAAGAGGCAAAGTCTTTTATAAAGGCGGTGAGCACCATGATGGAGTTCCAGGCAGAAGGCGGTTAAATGAAAGGTTTTTGAAAGAGTAGAGCCTATTAGGTAGGAGGATAGCCTGTTATGGAGAATATCTGTCGAATACTGTCCTCATCCCCCTTCCCACCGCCAGTTAAACTTGCAAACTACTACTGACGCTAGAGGAGACAGGAAAATCTTGAATTTCACGTGTGACAGTAGCGGTAGCAACCCTTTCTCACTGAGGACTATTTTGTTTCAGAAAGTTCTGATCCATAACAGTCAACTTTACCGCTCTTCAGTTCATCTTATGAGTGGTATTCAGAACTGGCTGAGCGCAATCTCAATCTGGTATGTTGGCACTTTCTAAGCCTCGCCGGAGGGCATGATGGCGCGCTGTGATACGTACTGTTCAAGGTGCATGATGTACGCTACAATCGAACGTGTGCAGGTGTTCCGCAGTCCGTTCCGCACCAGCCGTCGTTCAGTATCGCCACGTTTTCTAGCCACAATTGCCTTTATTGTCATAGCAGCTCTGGCGGTTACTGCTCAAACGTTCGCACAACCAGGGGCGATATTCTCTCATGTTTCGAATTGCTTATGGTGAGTTTTCAACATATGAAATTTCGATATGAACGTTTTCTTCAGATATTCATTCCATTTGCATAAGTCGCTCAAAATACTGGGTTTTCATTTTATATAGGGGAACTGGGACAATGTATGATAAAGTACTGGCAACATTCATCAAGGCCAGTGGTTCCGTATCTCACTGCCGAAAATGCCTTGATTGTAGTTCAAAATGTGTAAAAGTTGAAAAAAACTTTCATTGTCAACTGGACCCTTTGAGGACGCCGCACGCGTCCTTCCTCCATTGGAATTCCTGATGGCCATTCAGTGCGTTATGATCCAAAGTATTTCCCTTGGGGTCCCACGTGGAAAAGTCAGTGCGTTCACATTCCCAGACAAGTCGAAAACCGATTGGCTTTATACTTTCGAGTGTAAGCGAGGCTAATTTGCCCGTAGATATGAAAGATTTGGCTACATTGTGCGGAGGACCATCCGAGATTAGACAGCAGAGCTGAACGTGGTTCGTTTCGTCACTTGCCACTACAACAACTCTATCGAACAGTTCATATTCCGAAGGTGGAGGAGGCGTGAACAATGCACAGCTCGTTAGCTGCGCTAGACAGCTGCCGGTCCATGTGAGACGTAGGCAGTGAATGTAAGAAAGCTCGGGCAGCACAATGGAGGACCGATAACTTGCCGCTCCTATCTACTTGAATCGGCAATCTTCCATGGATAGTGCATTCACAACTAAGTACGAAGACACGCCCACCCCCTCTACGGGATACGGACTAGTTGGTCAAAGATACATGTCTATGACAGACTTTATTGATATTCCTCAACGTCGAGTGCATTTTCAGCAAGTTCACGAATTGTCCTGCATCGTATTGCACGGTAGCTCAAAAAGAAGCGCTCAAACAGCCTTAGTACTTACCACAACTTTAGAAGTGGACAGTTCTGAGGAGAGCGCTCCTCTTCAGCTGGTAATCAGATTCTTGTCTCACCCTTTCCGGGTACCGCGCAAGAATGGGATCGTTCTGGGAGCTCGCCGTATGGATTCTGAAATCCAGCCACGCGGTTAACTTGAACTTGAGACTTGACACCAAACTTGAGCGATTGATCGGTGGACTTAAGATGGTACAAGAAGAGAACCGAGATTGAACAGTTTATGTAAGCTAATCGATGAGATGTGCTCCGAGGAGCAAAGGGAGCGAAGTCGACTGAACCAAAGCAAAGTGGCGAAGGACGGCGAAAGTAGTGAAGTTGAGCGTACAGTTGTCGTGAAGCCTTCAGAGCCGCCTGTTCGCAATTGTCCTTTATAGGCGCAGAATTTTCCTGCCAGATCGATTACGTTGTATCACTTTGCTGCCGCGTTATCAAATTGCTTCAGTCTTGGTCTTAGTGAACAAATCTGCAACTAGACTCATATTATTTAGTGAACCATTATCAGATACAATATACAAGCAATATTACTAGCAATACACAATATAACCTTGACACTTTTAAGGAAATTCGAGGTCAAAGTCTGCTCTGCGATCATTCCTGGTCCAGCGTATACTGCTACCTTATTTACACATCGGCACTCATATACATATCCGCTTTTTGCTTGTTGAATGTCAATGGTTCGTTGTCTTAGCTGTACCTATTGATAATTTGCATTACCCGTTGCCTCTTGTTTGGGTCAAGACCGGGGTGATGCAGTCCGGTGAGTCTTTGTACAAACCCTGTTCGCCCTTCTCTCTGGTTCCCTTTTGGGAAGTTGTACGGTAAATGGAATGAGGTTCCCTCGCTACAAATATCTTTGGCTCTCTGTGGCTACATCCCTTTTTTCTCAATCGCTCTTGGTACTTCAAAGGCGGCTTTCGCCTTTCAAACCATTCAAGTCAATGTCCCTCTATTCGGGCAAGTTATCGACCCGGAGTAAGTACGCGAGCGATCAATGGTTCTTTTGAAGGTTCTACATCTTTCGCTCGTCTGTTGCACTTGTTTGGGGCTACTTGAGCGATTCCTGCGAATCAGTTTTCGCTACGCTTCCCTTTGATGCATTTTCTCCTCATAACAGTTCGCTTGGCAAATTTTTTCTAAATTTCTGCAACGATTCACCTGGGCCTTTTACCCGCTTGACGCGGCACCGTTGCCTTGAGGCGCGCGTCCGGGGGACTGGATGGCGCCAGACCCCGAGCATTAAAAAAACCCGGTTTTTATCATCGCGTGGCAGTGTTGCAAGCATGAAGAGGTGCACGGCGCAGTTATATTTCGGGATTTCACTGGGCCCTAACAGCATCTTGGTAGAAGCATTGCAAGCATCGTTGTTCGGTTCTTTCAAAAGCAATTGGCACGATTATTTCATGTACACTTTGAAAAAGTACAAATGTATTTAGTATCACGAAAATAGTATCTAAAAAACAACGGTGGCAATGCTGGGGAAAACACGGACATAATGGGAGCGTTCTTATTCTTCCGCACTGACCGGCAGTGGGACGCACGAACGGCGTGGATCGGGTCTCCCTGCCGACGAGTCTACGACCGAAACCGGCTAAGAACCCCAGCACGCTAACGTCTTAACTGCTCTACGTTAGCCCATGCGATTATGCACGTAGCACAGGCGGTCCTATACACGTAGGCCATGGTGCGCGTCCATCAACGGCACGGTGTCCCCTCTTCCCGTGCGTTCTGTTCTCCGTGTGTTATGCAAACGTCTCAATGTTAGGTGTGGGCATCTCGGGTCGGTACGTCTGCTGCCTTCAATAGGGCGCTGATAAGTGTACGCCCTCCTCTGCAGAAGGCGCTACGCTACCGCGCTTGTTCTTAGGTTTCAAATTCTTGGCCATGGCTGGTCGTTATGATCATTTACTCGCTTATGGGATTTAATCGTTTTGCCAACTGCCTTTTATATTCAGACTGTTGCGGTTTCAGGTCTGAGGGCACATGTGACACGGTAACAAAACCCACTCTTTGACTACCGTTTCTTTGGAGATTTCGTTGGAAATCTGATTAACTCCATATTTATTTTGAAAATGAAAAGAATAATCTAGTCAGGATAACTCACACTGATTTAATTGGATTCGAATTCAAGGTGATTCATGTCGCAAGCGTTGTGGTGATTCCGTTAGTGATATGCTCACTGTTGAATATTCTCTTGGTTTTGGCGCTGAAGAAGAACACGATGCCAATGCAAATGCTTCAAAGATTCACAAGCACAGCAAACATTACTTGAAGCTCGGAATAAAACTGAAAGAAAGGTAGGCAATTCTGTTTCTATTTCTGAGCCTTGGGAATTCTAAATGTATCAGGTTTCAGGTCACAATAATGGTGACAGTGATCATTACGAGTTTTGTCATCTGTAATGCACCGGGAGCGATTTTATATTTGCTAACTTTGAACCATGTCATTTCTAGAAAGGTAGGCAGACTGAGCTGTTTGTTCGTACACTGATACCCTCTTTTGAATCCCTGCGATGCTTCCTTTCAACGAACCTCTCGGTTTCTGAGTAACTTTTTCCTTCGGTTCGCCTCTCTACAACTGATTCTGCGCTCTCTCTCTCTGCCTCTCTTCCCTGGTATCCTCCGAAGGGGCTACGACTATGTGTCGTTTCAAAGTGGTCTCTCTCAGGCATTGTTCACAGGGTGCGCCAAGCTGGAGAATTGTGTAGTAAAGCTACGTTCATACTTTGCGGCAGCGTCCACCAGTGTCCTCTAGCGTACCCAGCACAGGGTACAGCATCGTTGTGCGAAACCCATAGGGGGTCGTACTTGGCCGCTGGGGAGGGGGGGGTCGTAATCTCAAGGGTCACTCAGAGCCGGGCAATGCTTCGACATTTCAGTTGATAGTGGGAGTGGAGCTATGGAAGTCAAGATGTTAAAAAATGAAAATTATTATGAGTGTATTCTTACATGATTTACTGCGCTCACGTTTAACATGCCATCTTGTTTCATGCGGAGTCCCCCAATAAATCGGGGTTGACACTGGCCGCTGGGGACGTGGGAAGTATCGCAAAATATAGCTCGCTAGGCTTCAAACAGTGTAAAAGTGTCATTGCTAAGTTTGATGGAACGGACGGAAAGCTGCAGAAGACCCGGATGTAAGGAGGACTACAAAATAATAAAAAATTGATTAGCCATATAGCAAGAATAAGGCAAGAATGAATGAATGA